TAGGGAGGAACTTTCACTAATGCCAAGCGTCCTGTTTTCATGGCTCATGCAGGGTCAGAGCCTGGTCTACAGGTAAACCCGAGTAACGGTAATGGCAGCAGTCATTGTTGTAGTAAAAGACTCTCTGTGTATAGAAGGTTTGTGCAGTTTGTTACAGTATTTGAATAAATACAAATCTCTGCACCCTTACAACAAATAAATGTGAAACTATTTTTTTAAATTAGCAATATCTTGCAAAACATGATCTCTCAGTTGCCTATATGTAGTAGAAGTCTACAGGATAAAAATGAAAATGAGAGGGCTGCTAAAAATCAACTGCTTTTCTTTGTATATTTTATATCAGTTCTGCTATTCAAGAGTATTTATACTCTTGTGTTGAAAGCTTACTGCTTTTATTGTTTGGTTTTGTTATTGGCATTTTGTTTTTAATGATCACTAAAGCCTTTTCCAACATGCTGCAAGATCACTACTTAAATTAACTTAAAATTTGCAACAATTCATTGAACATTTATTCTGTGCTTTACATGGTGCTAAGCACTTTGTTTATATTATTTAATTTGTTCTCACAAAAAGCCTGAGAGTTAGGTATTCATAATGTCAATTTACAAAGGAAAGGCTTCGGCATAGAAAGATGAACTAGTTTGCCTAAATATCACACCTAAAAAGTTGCACAGCCCTCAAACCCTACTTCTGTAGATTCCCATCCTCAACCACACTACAGAAGAAGAACAATTGTCCAGTTGCCTCCTGAATTCAACAATGAATATTAGGCAACTCTTTTGCCAAAAGAAATTATCTACATTTCTTAACTTTTTAAATAGTCCAATGCAAACATGTAGACAAAGTGAGAAAAAGTTCCCAGTGAATGTGATTCTAAGACCCTCATTCTGCATCAAATAAAGTCATTTAACAAAGTAGAGATCCCAGAGTTAATGAGTATAACAGCTGGTTTTTGCTTATGTTTTAATCCCGAAAAATATAATATCAAGAGTTTGCATGGGCTTCGCACTCACACATGCAGTTTCTCTTCTGATCTCGTCATTACTAACTTCGCAGCCTTATGCTAGTTACTTAACTTCCCTGGGCCTCAATTTCCTATCAATAAAGCAGGATAAAAAAAATTCCTACCTTTTGGGATGTTATGTGACTTAAATTAAATAACATTATGTAAAGTTTTCATGTATGCTAAACGTGTTCAATAGCTGTTCTCTTTATGATGCTAGATAAAACCCTTTTTCTCAAGTTACCTCTAATTAATTTTTTAATTATTGGTCCTTCAAAATGAAGAAAAGAGAAGACCTGGCCCCACTAAATCTCTATTTAATTTAATGATTTTAAGCTTTTTGAAATTGCAGAATGAAAAGGCATTAAATTGGTACACATGTCTAAGTATTCAGTGGTCAAGCAACACTTTGTTTTATCCAAAAGCTCTGCCTCCTATTGTAAATCATATCACTATCATGAATATCTTTGATTTTTTCTCCCTTTTAAATCTACTCGTGTTTTCATTTGAATTCGGGCATCTTTCTTTATTTGAAAAATAAAAATAAAAAATGTCTTGTAAAATACTTTCTTGATTAATAGTTTCTGAGAAAAAGTTTTTGATAAAAAACTCATCATAAAAGTTTATGATAAAAATAAACTATTATTTTTTTAAAAGCACATTCACAGAAGGGAAAGCAATTCAAGTCAGGAAAATACCTGATTACTCCAGTGAGAGGGAGAGAGCAGAACTTACTTTACGTGTTTGCAAAGTGTGTGTGTGTGTGTGTGTGTATGTGTGTGTGTGTGTGTATGTGGATGGGAAATGAGGAAGCGGTTGCTGATATTGTTTTAACCTTTCTTTTTGACATATGAGACACACCATGCTTCATTGGGTTAGAAAACAGACTCTTTTTTCTGACTTAGTAAGAGATGAGTGAACTGACTGCTGAGGACATGTGAGAAGCAATGCAGGACCGTGGGCTCTGGAACAGCTGGTCCCAGAATGAACTATGATCATAGGTATTGATAGACAAGAGAAGGACACTGACAGGACAATTGATCCAAGGTGAAGATCTTAGAGGGACTGAAAATTCAAAGACAGCCCGGTTTGATTCCTGGCTCCATTGGGGCGAGTTCATTATCTTCTCTGAGTTTTTTTGTCCTCCTTTGTAAAGTCAAGACTATACCACTGCTCTAGCCAGTTTGGCTCAGTGGATAGAGCGCCAGCCTGCAGACTGAAGGGTCCCAGGTTCAATTCTGGTCAAGGGCACATGCCCTGGGTTGCAGGCTTGATCCCTGGTGGCGGACGTGCAGGAGGCAGCTGATCAATGACTCTCTCTCTCTCTCTCTCTCTCTCTCTCTCTCATCATTAATGTTTCTCTCTCTTTCTCTCTCCTCCCTTCCTCTCTGAAATCAATAAAAGTATATTTTTTAAAAAAGAGACTATACCACCAATCCCATGGGGTTGCTGAGATTATTAAGTACAACTTAATGAGTGCACTTGTTACAGGTAGAAACTATTCAATGTATGCCTTCTCTTCCAGCTCACCTGACTTATCTGCTTCATGCCTTCTGGCTGTTTCTGTGCTCTGGAAACAGTGCTTCTCAAACTTTGGTGGGGAGGGACCAGGAGTATATGTATGTGTGTGCGTGTGCGTGCGTGTGTGTGTGTGTGTGTGTGTGTGTATTCAATCCATAAAGACTGATACTAGCAAAATAAAATAAAAATGAAATTTTAAAATCACACACACAATAAAAAACAAATAAAATAAAATAACACACAAAGCTGCCCTGGCTGATGTGGTTCAGTTGGATGGAGTGTTGGCCCATACGTTGAAGGGTCTTGGGTTCAATTCCCAGCCAGGGCACATGCCTAGGTTTCAGGTTGGATCCCAGGTCAGGACACATACAAGATTCAACCAATGATGATTGCATAAAAAATCAATGTTTTCCCCTCTCTCCTTTTCTTCCTCTCTCTCTCTAATAATTAATAAATTTCTAAAAAATAACAAACAAAGCAATGATAGGGGAACTTTGCCTATTTCCTCTTTGTTCTGCTGGCTGGTCAAATAAGGCATATTAACAGGAGAAAATCACAAGGACTTCACATAAGCATTAAAATTCACCAGAAAGTGAAGCATAATGAGGTGTATCTGTCATTCTGAACTATAGAGGGGGACGATAGGGGTCTAGGACTTCAAAAGGAAGTCAATTTAAAAGGAGATGAGTAAAGAGTTAAAGTTTAGTAAACAAATGTTTGTTGGGTCATCTTGAAACAATGGGACACAGAGAAGACTTTGATAAAAGGCTTTGCTAGGTTCCTCCCTGTTTACCACACACTAGTTCAGGTTAAGCTATAGTTATCTATGATGATATCTCCCTTCATTAAGCAGGTCCTCTTCCTTTACCTAAATTCTTTTTAGGGGGAAGATCAAAGGTTCTTTCTGAGTATTTTGTTTCTTAAAAGTAATCAGCTTAAAATAATTAATATCCGAAAGAGGCATATTTTTGGATGATACACTCTACCGCCCCTCAGAAACAAGCTAGGAAATCACAAATATCTGGAAATACAACTCACTCCTAAACAACTCAGGGGGAAAAAGTAATTACAAACAGAATTAGGAAATATTTCAAACGGGTGATAATTAAAGATAATGTTTCAAAATTTGTGGGATACCACTAAAACAGAGATTAGAGGAAGATTTATAGTTTTAACTGTTTATATTAGAAAAGAAGAAAGGCCTAAAATCAATGATAAAAATACTAGAAAAAAAAGTAAAGCAAACCCAAAGTACATAGCAGTTCATATTTAATAAATATTCCTTCTTTTTCTAAGGGACATACGAAAACTTTTTGGGGTGATGAGTGTAACTGCTGATATTGGCTCTCAGTTCTTGAGTGTGGCAAAGAAAGGATTCAGAGCCAATAACTCTAACACAAGAAGTTTACTTAACATACAAAGCAAAAATACACCGGAAGAGAAGATTCAAGTGGACTGCTCAGAAAGAAAGTCTCAGAGGCAGAAGTGAGACAGCTGGCCTATGTGGTCTCAGGAATCAAGTTACAGAGGCCAAAGAAGAGACCTTGGAGCCAGGTTCAGGGGGTTTAGCCAGAGACAAGTTGGAGCTGCCCACTGCTCCCCTGGTTTTAAGTCTTGTGGGAACTTTAGAGCTTAGGAGAAAGAAGGCAGGGGCATGCTTCAGGGAGAGCATGTGCAGTGTCCGTTGTCTTAGGGTTTTTATCAGTTTTCTAAAGGCTGGAATTTTAGGGGAGCCTCAGGGTAGGATCTCAATAGAATATTCATCAGCTTTACAGGTGTGTCCTTTAATACGCT